TTATTTCCCATAAACCCTGCACGTCCAGATATTAAAGCCTTCTCATTCCCCACGTCTGAGTAGGTGAGAGGCTGACCTGGAATTTGACCACCTTTCCGTGACAAAACAACTAGTTATCCTGGAGGTATCCTAAAATCGAACTCCGCTTCCAAATTTTGACCAATTTGGATGCACGTGAGTGGCCAGAACACCTGCGCCATTGTTTTAAGCAGCCCCCTTTTAGACCCACCCCAACTCCCCTAATTGATGGGCCTTTTCTTAATGCCGTGGAATACATCCAGTTGGTTGAAGAGTGATGTTGTCGCATTTCGTGGAGGCCGGTGATTTGCCTTTGGCTGGTCATTCAGCAGATGGACGTTGGACACGCGTACTTGCACACCGTCTGGTGTGGGCAATTTATCAAGACATAGACGACAATAACAACGAGCATAACTAACGAGCCGAAGTGGGCCAATTAACCAACTGGCCAAATGATATTTTTTGTGTGGACCGATGGGCTGGATTAGTTTGCGCGCCTAACGAGAATTGACTTCAACAAAGTATACCTTAAAAGAAATGGTTTGCTTTCATTTAACGCGTGTCTAATTTGTTCATGAATTCCGTTTTAAAAAGACGATCTGACCTTGACAAACACGGGCGTGATTGGTTTGGTGCCATGTGGTTTGCTTCGACAGAAGGAGCTCTCCTTCGACAGCCACGGTCATTCTGGCGGCGGATTCGACTGATTTAAAATTGCTACCTCTTCGACGGATCAGTCGGGATACTTTTCCTCAAACTAGAGTTGTTTAAAATACCGAAAACTTGACAAGCGAACTCACGATTCATCACAGTGCCACCGTCAGTTCTTATTTTTGAACAAAAAACCCACCCTTCTCCATCTCTAGGCAAGAAAAACCGACATTTGCTTCGGAGAAAAATCATTTTTTGCAGTTTTGAGAGTTGACTCGCGACAGAGATTTATATACCTACGTTTTTGCTTGTGTCAGACATAAGTACGGGAGGAAATCTGGCTTGATAAACGCCTTCTGCCTCTTTCTCACACATTTTTCCTGATTTCAAGCGGCTCCATAAATTTCAATAAATTTCCACATTTTAACTTCTTCATTCACCAGCGACGAAGCAAATTTGGAAGTAAGGGTTTGAGCTGGCTCTCCCAAGCAAAGTTATTTTCCTAAAGTGCATAATTCACCTGGAGTTTGGTAGTGCTTAATTTGAACCAATAGACTCCGAGTTAGCTTGGTGTGGGGGCCAGTTGGGACAGCATCAATGCAGCGCCACCCATTGAAAGGCTGCTCAACTTTCCGAAAGACCAGTGGATTATTCACACTAAAAAGGACAAAAATGTCATTTTGAATTTGGGCTTGTATTAGAACATCTACTTCTAGAACGGACCACACAAATGTACAAATTGACAATGCAACTAAACATCTGTTTTAGCGCCCGGGGTGGTCTCATTTGCCGTGTTTAGCCTCATTAAATGAGAGCCCAGCGCTACGTTTGATTACCATTGGACAAGCCAATAAAATCAATACATCAGACAGTGAGCTGAGGTCAAGCAGTCGACCTTGAGGGCTAGCCAATTAGGTTTCGAGAATGATGCATTTACGAAGCGTGTGATGCCTGAGAGGAACCACAAGTTTTGACATTTACGAATTCCGCATTTTAAGTAACTCCGCTGCCATGAACTGATGAAGGGAGAGAGGGCAGTTGAGATTATCCCCGTCTTTCCTCAATCCCACAAACCACGCCATGTCGGCTGTGTGCGCAGGCGTGCAGGCACGGTAAAGTGATGTCGGTGGGGTGACAGCAGGGAGCTGCTGCATCACCCCACCCCCTCCCTCCCTCAGACTGAAGCGCGTTTTTCTTCATTTCTGACAGACAATACTTGGCTGGTGGTGCTACTTTCTCATTTCCTGAAGCTCTGGGACTGCGTTGAAGGCGGAAATGAGTTGGTGTGGCGGTTTTTCACTCAAGCCCCCAAAGGCAGGTGGATAGGCTTGTTTGGAGATCATCACGCAACCGGTGCCCCTCAACGAAGCTTGAAGTCGGTGCGTGTGTGATGGGTTGTTGTGGTCAACAGTAAACGCCCTCCTTCACTAAACTTCCTGTTTTTCACGCCTCATTCAGGGGACAAAATATCTGCAATTAGAGCTGGTTTATAAGACTATGGGCTGTTTCGCTAACACCGTGAAATAAACTTGTCGGTTGATCGTAAAGGAACCAGAAATTGGTCGTCCATTTGGGCAATTTAATTGTGTCATTGATCTCCACCAATCCTATTGTAGCAGTTCTTTTATCGCGCCGACATTTGCGAGGCGGATTTAAACAAGTTCCCAAGTGTGGTTAATTTCAAGTCTGGATATCCGTGCTATTTTGTAGGTTCAAATGAAGGAACATTCTAGAAAATTATTCCCGTTGATGTAATTGCCTCCAATGGCTCCCAACCATCTTTAAATTTAATTGATTTAAGGCATCATAGTTTTGGGAAAGGGACGTCAGAAAGTACATGCGCGAAAACAAAAAAAAGTAACTTTCGTCTTCTACTCAGGTACATTTTTTGGGGAGGAAATGTCGTGCCACCTGGAGTTGTTCGTTTTTCTCGAAAACTGACGAAATTTATTTTGTGCGAATCGGAAATCAACATTATTTTATACCCAAGTGTTTTGCCAAACGCGTTAGTCTGCAATGATTTAAGCTAAGCACGATTTGCCCACCTCTATTTTATGGGGCATCATTAACGTGCGCGCGCATGCGCACGCGTGCGCACGTGCATCCACGAGCCACGTGGGTGATTTATTTGCATTAAAAGGCCAATCAGCTTCGGCGCACAATCCTATCTAGCGCCGCGATTGGCTGATGCTCGAGAAGGTGCGCTTTATAGTTGGGAGGGGGGAGCTGGCCGCGTGCGGCGGTCTAATTAATGCCTAGCGGTGCTGCATAAACATCCGTTTTCAACCAAATTATCGACTGAAGTGGTCTAGGATGGTTAGGGAGAGAGTAACACACACACACACGAACCCAGAGCGGGAGAGAGAGGAAAATATGTAATCACAATGACAGTCAATTTATCACCCAGGCATCCGAAAATGATGACGGCGACGACTACTGGGAGATCAAAGGCGATAGCCGGTCCCTTTGAGATCAAGTCGGCTAGTTAAGGGAGCACGGACGGGAGATAAGAGTCATGCGGAACCGCCCCATTTCCGGTTATCACTGCCAATCGCAGTGTTTTGGCTGAGTTTCTACGTTTCCGGTGCACCTGTGAGAAGTCAACCACTAGTACTTTGTAATTGAAAATACCGTCTTCATTCCTAGGTGGTTAGACCACGAGAAGAGCGGTCTTAGCGTTAAACAGTCGACATTCGGACATGTCATTTGTTTCATAAACTTCTACGCCATGATCAGTGCTCGAAATTCCCAGACACGAGTATGCATGTGTGTGTGTGTGCAGCATCAACCAATCATATTACTGCACTAGAACCTTACCCAATGAGCTTGCAAAGGGGTTCGCACAAGCACCCAGGTCGTTGTAACGTCCAAGATAGGAGTGAGTCCCTTCGAGCGTGTCGCTGTTTACCCACTAGAGCGAACCGCGCCACAACACACACAGGTGCAAGCGCACACGAGACTTGTGTGTGTGTGTGCCCAGGTGATTGATTGTGTCGCGTTTTCTAGACATCTAATGTGTGTGTGTGTGTTCGGTTAGACATCAAAGGAGCATGTGTGCTTCACGCGACACGTCGTCGTCGTTCGCTCGCCTCCTCCTCCTCCTCCACCCGCGTCTCGACGAGATGCTCGTACGGACCACTGCCTGCGTGAATGCGCGTTTGATTTATCGTCTCTTCACAAATAAGCACACACACACACACGCCGCACGTCCACACGCTCTCGCGGATATGAGAATTTGGCGCGCACTTTTCATTGAACGGCCTTGACATGCAAACCAACATCAGCTGGAGAATCTGTGATCGACTGTTATTTACCCGAGCCTCCGGGGAACGCCCTCTTGGACCGTAAATCACGTGAGGGTTCCAGGGTGGTAGAAGTCTTTTACCGAGATTTAATCAAATTCGTTTTTTTTTCACATCCGGCGTTTTGTTTTAAACTAGACTAAGCTTGTAGAGAGAGAGAGGTAGGTTAATGGAAAGGTGGTCTGGTCATCAAGATCATCGGAGACACGTGGTTGTGAAGGCTTTGACTCTACAACGGCAGTATCACTGAAGGTAGCTCAGCAAACCCGCTAAATTTCCACCCCAATTGCCCCAGACAAACACATGAAGACGATTGGCTCATTGTATCATTGATACCGACAAAATTGGTCCATCGATCCATGACTGCCACTCACAAAATCGATACTGATGAGGGCACGTCAGAATTGTGTAGCAGGGGTTGAGTTCTAATCACACATGATGGATGCGAAACAATGACGGTTAGCCGAAAAACTCAGCTAAACCTCGTGAGATAATTCGCTTCACTGTGGTTTGGGTACGTCTTCGAATAGATAGCAAAAACGCCTACATTGTCGTAGCATCCACATTACCATGACAACCACGGCCTCCCTTCTTCGTCATCGCCATAACTATCTGGTCCACTTGGTTTAAACTTACTAGTTGTAAATCAGACGACATTCATCAGCAGCATTAACCTAGAAATCTTCACTCTATTGTTTGTTCGCGATCTCGATTCTGCCATTTTTCAGAAGAACCAGAGTCTTCGAGTTCCAGTTTCATTGTTTCGACGTTGCAAATCTCATTGACTGCAGTTTGTTGAGAAATTGTGTGGTGGTGGTGATGTTGACGATTACTAAAATGTGCTTTTCTTGAATGTAACATGGAATAATTCGAGAGTCATTAGAAGACGAACAAGGAGAGCTAGGACTACCTACGTTTCACATCAGCTGTGGACGTCAAAGAATCAGAGACAGTTTTCTTGAATGACAGCTATGCTAGCATGTTTATTGATTCCCCCACGAAATAGCCGAATTGTAACTTCTCCCCATTGTTGGTTAGTATATCAAGGCTTGTTTAAATTGACCTGGTGTACTTCAGCAAAGTCATTACTTCCGTTATCCACCAGATGTTTTTTGGTAGCACTTATTTACGCTACTTTCTCACTTCAGTGACCAAGTATCCGTTGCTGACTGTTGGTGGATGCTCTCTACATCGCCAGAGCCAGAGCAGAAGCTCTGATTGGTCTGGCGTCACGCAGGGGTCGTGACGTTCAACTGGGTGGTTGATTACCAAGCCACGTAGAAGGGCGACGTAGTGTAATTCGTCACTGTGTGTGCTGTTGCTTCGTTTATGTCTGCCGCGGTGGTTGGGTGTGCACACATCAACGGTGCGATCGTCATTTTCAGGAAGTGAGCGTAACTGGAAACACAATTCATCAATTGTCTGGAAACACACACACACACACGCAAGCGCGCATTGCGACAAATGAAGTACCAGACACGAGACCCAAGCCAAATTTTGGAACAATCGACGATGCTCCATCAACAACTCGGATCACGACAAGTCCGTCCTGTAGGTCTTCTCTACAACGAGTTTGAGGACATTTCATGGCCAATGCTGAAGGAACACGATCGCGTTTGTCACGGGTCACTTAACGTCAAAACCCAGAGGCAGCTTGTTCCAACTGAGACTTAAAACCATCTTGTAGTTGAAAATTGAAAAAAAAAGCAGGTAGATATTTGAAGTACGAGTCATTCGTCAAAGTCAACAAAACTCAAGAAATCGATTCTATCAGGTGTATGACTTAATTGACACAGATTATTTTCTTGGAGCTTAAAATTATATTTAAATTAGACGCATTTTGGCGGTCTTTTGT